AAAGAGCCATGCAATTTCTTTAGTATATGCTTACCACCATCACCTTTTTACTGTAACATCAAAAGGCTATTCCTGTAAGCTTTCTTCCACATTTAAGACAAAACGCTGCTCCAACTTTTCCAAGAAATTGTGATAAGGATAGATGTAGAAAATCCTTTGTATTTGACATGATATTGCTAAAAAGCATTAATTGCTGCCCACTTCTTTCTTTACATTTCTTTAGTCAAACAAACATGACCTCTTCCTTGTCACTGAAAAAAAGTACTGTTATGATAGACACTCGATGATATATCTGCAAGATCATATTGTAATTTTTTAATTAACTATGGAGGGAAAGAAGCAGAAAAAAGGTGTTACTTCAAGATTACATCCCTCCTGCTCCTTTATGTTAGCCCTGCTCTACCGCAGTCTTTCACTACTGCCACTGGTAACAATCTCTACCCTACCTCCCCAAAGTAAAAAAAGTACACTCTGGTAAACTTCCTTATGGAAAAATGCAATAACACATTCTTTGTTTTTTATTGTAAGGAGTATATTTAACCCACAAAAGCTGAGTAGTGACAGGTAATTGTGGGTAAAAGTCTACAAAGCAGAATACCAAAGGAAGACATTATCGTAGAATACAAAGTAAAGAGTGCTAAGACTACTACTTTCTTACAATGATGTGAAAACATAATAAAAAACAGTGCTACACAGCAACAGAATTAATTCATATTTGCAACCCAAGCTTAGATTTGGCAATTAAAACTGTTTTGCAAAAAGCTAATCTTGACTTCTCATTACTGAAGAGAGGGGTGGGGGAAGAAAGAGGAAACCAGTTTTAAAACGAAGGCATTCAGGGTTTCCAAACTGCAGCACTCACATTTCTAGCTGAGCAACAAGACTGTTAAACTGAATTCACTTTATTGCCCCCAGATTAGGAAAATAAAGTAAGCACAGTTTAGAACTCCATGGTAATAACAAAAAGAGACTAGCAGAGGAAAAATGATCATCTGAAGGATTCATGTTTACTGCCCTTTAAATGCAAATTATCTTCAAATAAGTTTTTTCTCTTTTTGAAGTTTTTCTTCCATATGATAACAAAATCAGCATACATTGCTCATCAACTCTCAGGTGAAACAAATCAAAGCACTTATTTTCACCTCTTTAACATTTTCAAAAAAGCGTATGAATATATGACATACCTTATGCTGTAACAGTTTAACCCTGCATTGGCTAACAAATTTCTTTAGGTCTAAGCCTACATGCTGCACAGCCTACTTGCTTTCTTTTTATACTTCGCCAGACCTCTTCAGTTTCACAAACTTCTGAACAGAGCTGTCATTATTAATTCTCAGCAAGAAACCTAAGCCACTATGAATCACCGCAGCGACTGGCAGCAAGTGTCGGCACTACTCTCACAATGCTTCAGAAATGGAGAGAAGTCCTAAAGCAACTAAAAGCTTTTAGTTAACCTACCACTGACTTGCTTCTTGCACAAGTCTTCATGCAACTTCATTAAATAAGAGAGCAAAGAAAAAGGGTACATAAGGCTGACATAATATTTCAGAAGCCAGAAATATTTCAGTATTCTGCCTAACACCAGGGTCTCAGCTCCATGCCACTGTCTCCAAGTAGGGACACCACACAGGCTGGAACTTTAGTTTTGCACATTTCATTAAAAGCTTGCCAGACAGCAACAATTATACCTCCCATATCTGTCCACAGTGGAACTAGGCCCTCAGAGTTTATTCATCAAACATCAGACATCCAGACTACTTACTTGGCTCTAAACAAGAGTACAGATAACACATGTTGCACTCTTCCTTAAGAAACGCACTGGACAATGTAAAGCATTTATTTACTATGCAAAACCGCACATTTCTCTATACTGTGTGAAAATTAAATTGTTGGATTATATTCTCCCCATAAAACATTTGATAATAATTATTTTTCCTAAAGAGAAATGAAAGTGAGAACAGAAAAAAGGGCTTTGTTGTAGTCTCTAAAATGGTGCTCAACTCTGCACTGCTAAGCCACAGACGTCTATAAAACAGATTCCTACAAGTAAGAGGGAGCGAGCATTTCTCTGCATTGGGAAGTTGTGGGTTTTTTTCTAGAACTCACACTTGCCATGACCATTGCATTTTAGCAGCCATAGTACTTTAACAGCACTATCATCTAGGACACTGGCAGCTCTGTGGTCCAGTGGTAGATATAGCAAAATATTTAAACTTCAACAATCGTAGAGAAGTTCACTGTTCTACTGATAATCAAAACCATAAAAATACAAAGAAGGAAACTGGACTGTGACTTCGTATTGACTGTATTCGCTGTGTGGTGGAAGTGAAGTCAGAAACTTATTTTTCAAAGTCTTTTGGAAACTTAGCCCATGTTCATCCCCTGGACATGTGCGCTTTAGTACTTTGAGCTGTTATTTTCAGCAGAAAGGATACAGCTGCATTTCTGGTGATGAGCAATTTAAAATACATGATAGTATAGACCACTCTGTAACATAACTTCAAAGAGTTATGAATCCAAGTTTAAAAGTTACAGTAAGATATACTTACTTCTTTCTTACCTTCCACTCGCTATCTCACTGCCTGTCCCTGCTGATCATGTGAACTGGTAGTCAATATGACTTGCTTCGTGGCATCAAGGGAAGCTAATTTTGAAATTACCATGGGCCTCCAGAGCTTACCAGAGAATTCTGAAGCTGCTTGCTGTGCGACATAGCCACATGCAGAGGCCCATGCTGGTTTTAGAGAATAAATCATCTTCAAGAGAGGCATGCCATCACATCAGCAAAACCTCAGTTTTTGTTGAATTAGTATTCTCATTAAAAAATCATTTTCTTTATTATCTTTACATGTTCCTTCCCAGACTCACTGTTCCACTACTAAAACATACTATAATGTTTTAGTAAACAAAGTTTCTAGATAAATGTTAATCCCTGTCGGCCCATTTCCTTAGGAAAGGTAATTCTCAAAACAGAACACATGCACATAACAACAGGTAAATACAGGTATCTAGATGTGACACTGATGCATAACTGTATTCTTACCTATGCACACGTTCTGAAATGTTTCCTCTCTTCAGAGGTGTTAAATATTGACCTAATTTGGTTCCATTATTGACACAGTAGCAATACAATTAAGGGACTGCTTAAGTCAGTTCAGGTTTGGTTTGTTGTTTTTTGGTTGGTTGTTTTTTTTTGTTTGTTTGTTTTTTTTTTTCCAGGGAAGTGGGTGGGGGGAGTATTGAGGGGTTTTTGTGTGTGTTGCTGTTCTGTTTTTTTTAAACATAAGCGAGAACAAGTTTTGTAGATCTCTCAATGTTACTTATTTTTCTTCTAGTTACCCACGAGATGCATCTTCAAGTTCTACAACCTTTCTATTAAGCATTCAGTTGTAGTTATTACTCATACTTTAGACCTGTCAAAGAGAATTCCTACCAAATGGCGAACGTAAGACAACTGTGGTGTAATTTACCATGGTAAAAACACACAACTAATTTCCAAATTGTCTATTAGGTACCCATATTTAGTTGGTCTAGACACAAAGAATAATTCCAGCATATTCATCCAGATGCACAGTGTGGACCAACTAAGACAAAATCTAAAGATTTGCCCAAACCAGAACGGTCTGGGTTTAGAATAAGTTTCAAGACAATAACAAAAGGAAGTGACAAAATTAATTCATTTTCCCAGCTCCCTTAATACAAAACATTAGTTTCAACACAAGAAAAATTGCTATAGCTTCCACTGATTACACTAGTTGCTTGTTTGACAGACTCACAATAACTCATCCTATCTTTTGTTGAGAAATCAAAAATCCAAAATGTCTGGTTGCCCACACTTATTTTTACACTTAAAAATTTAGCAGCTATCTTGGAAGCTGGGAAAAAGAGACATCTTTAGCAAAGGGTGTTAAAAATACATCTCTGCTTCCCTACCTGTTTCTCACTCAGAGCTGTGATTTTGGCTTGAAGTTCATGAAGCTGTTTCTTCAAATCAGCGTTCTGATTAGAAAGAAAAAATATCTGTGAGAAAGATATTCCATTTGTTAACATAGAGTAGTAGCAGGAAGGTGGTTTTTTTGTTGTTGTTGTTTTTGTTTTTTGCATAGTGTACTACAAATAGAGCACCTCTGGATGTACAACCAATAAAATTCAAGAGGCTCAACAAAGCCTTACTTAAGTCACTGAGTGCAGCAATAACCAAGAGGACCTTTCTAGCACTCAGAGAAACAACCCAGTTTGGAACGAAGATTTCATTAAAACATCCATTAGTGCTTACTGCATTATAAAGCACATTTGTACATTTCATCAAGCTTACAAATTAAACGAGAAATGTTTGTTAATATGTAAACTATAGTATCATATTGTATACAATAGTATGCTATGGTATGTTACCTAAAGCATTCTCACCTATGCTACTTAGGCAAAGACATTATCATACATTTGACTGTGTAGAGCATCAGCAAATATATCTATTAAATCTTAACTGACACATGTCAAATGAAGGCAAACATATCTAAGTCTTCACTTCCATGTACGGTTATGCCTTAAACTGTATTTAAGAGAATTACATTTGCCTTAGCACATCATTCATATCAGCACTTTGCTTACAATAGCACTTTAAGATTTGAAAGCCATAAGCATCACTATAAAGATGCAGTCAGAAAACAATTTTTTACCAGGACTGTTTCTTTCCTACTAAAAATAAAATAAAAAAATCTGTCCTCAGTTTAAAGCCTGTGAAGCTCTGCAGAAACATGACAGGGAAGCGAGCTTCCCTGCCTTTTGCTCTTTTTCTACTTTTTTTGTTCTCATTTATGGTATAAACTCTTTACACTAGATTACACAGGTTTGCTTTGCTACACAAAAATATTAAAACATAGGACTACTATCATTACAGGAGCTTCATGCTCAGGACAACTTCCCTATTTTTGTATTCCTCCATACAATTTTGAAATGCATTACAATCTCAGCTTGTAGATAGCCTTCTCCAATATATATACAATTTTAGCAAAACCAGATATTGACCAATCATCCTCCCTTCGTCTAGATTCCACTTGATAATCTGGGATAAAAATGCATTAAAAGCACCAGAAGCAGGGACCAGATTTACTCTTCCTGGTTCCAGGAACTTTGCATGGCTGCTTGCAGCATGACTTGGCTTTCAGCAGAGATGAACCAAAAGCGAACTGCTCTGCAGGCTAATCATTAGCGGACTTGCCCAGCAAGAAGGAGTAGCAGACCTTACCCAAATCCCATCAGAATAAGGAATTTCTAGAAAGCAGATTTTCCAATATCACCCTACTCTTTGCTCATCCCTCCCCGTCAGGGGTCTAACTACTTGACTGTTACAAAAGGCTGTCTTCCCACTCCACTAAGCTCAGAAAAAGATATGCTCAGAAAATTACAGGGCATTTAGTATTGTATGGGGATGGAAGCACTTAACAGCAAGCTTCAGGTGAGCTGCCTTTATCCCTCTACTCGACATTTCAGACTGGTTAGAGAACTCCACAGAACTCCCCATTCAGCACACTGGAGTGCTTAATTGCTGTACAAGACAATCTAGTCTCCTTACACAGTCACTGGGAAAGGGATGACTTCTGCTGTCTACACGAGGAGTCTAGTTATCCAACTTCAGTAACTCTGAAACATCCCAAGGCCAAGTGTCCACTCTTTGGACACTACAGTGCTGAAGTTGGATACCTAAGACAGGCAATCTGAACATAGCCTTAAGCTGCATTCTTTATTTGGACAAAATATCCTATCTGTTCTTGTACAACTGTGAACCTTCCGATACTCAGAAAAGGAAAACGTGAATTCTAGTAATGGCAGATTTTATAGAGCAGCTTCCAATAGAATCAGAAACTTACTGCATATGTTTGAACTGCACCATAACCCACAAGAGTCGCTTGCTTTAAACTATTAAGAATGTGAGGCAAAAGGCTTCATAAAGGCAAAAGTTTTTGTTTTGTTTTAAACTATCCAACAGTCATTGTTTAAAGACTTGTTCATAATAGTTTTCTTCTAAACATTGTGTTAGCCAGGAAGAACATAATCAAGAAATATCTAAAATTCTCGAGCTTCATGCACTGTTATTTCCTGTATTTTTAAGGGTAAATAATGCAGTATAAAAATAAATAGTTACCTGTGGATCTTGCTTCATTTGGGCAACCAATTTCTAGAAAGAAAAAAGATGCAACAATACAATGAAGATTTTCATTGCGGATCTTGTCGAACAGTTTAAAAATTCAACATTTTTGAAGAACCTTTGTAAAAGCAAAATATTCAGTTTACAGCATTTCAATAGCAAGGCCTGGAATGCAATATTATGTGATTTCCAAACCCATTCTTATTAATATAGTAAAACTACCACACTAAGCTACCGCTTTTGCTCCTTCTCCTAAACAGATCTTGAACAAGTGATGCTTTTTAAGGACAATTTAAGCCAGCTGGGTAAGATAATACAATAGCTGTGTCTCCTCTGGAACTGCTGCCTTCTTTGCTTGCAGTCACAAGAATCACAAATCACAGATAACGGCTGTGGGCACAAAAGCTGTTTGTATATTCAAGAGCAGAACATTTTGAGTACTGAGGGTCCGCCTGTGTGTTCGCTTGGCTGGTACCACATGGAAGACCCATGTTCAGAAGTATCTTTGCCACTTTTCTCCCTCAGAGAGAGATTGAGATCATTGTAGAAGAGATGCCCTCTAGATCCAAGGGAAAGCAGACAGATGGTTACCATTCACTATTCTTCCTCCTTCACTTCCTTCAGGCAGCTGCAGGAGAATGCTGTCTATTGCTAAGCAAGGAAAAAGTTACCAGGCTGCCACCAAAGAAAACCACAGCCCAGAATGAAGAGGCAATGTAAACCAAAAATTCCCAATTTCTTTTTTGGTTACAGCCACGTTTATTCATCACATTGCCATGTGCCTTCCACACATGCAAAGAACAATGTAAAGTCCGTACTTTCTTCCCCATTTGCTCATCAGAATCAGGAAAAAGAGTGAGAAACAGGACAGAGCAAGCAAGAAAAATGTGTTTCATTCCACCTGCACTAATACTGCTCAGAGAATTCAGACTTTGACAACTAATTCTCTTTAAAGTTTATTTCATTTCACATCCTAAAAATGGTATTAATCAGAAAAAAAAGCATACCACAAAGGTAGCTCTGTGTCAGACCACAGGTTTACCTGCTGCATTTTCTGTCTAGTACTAGCTGATAGCAAAAAAAGGCATCAGCATGATGGCTATGCTGGACAAGCATAGTGTTATCTCCCATCTTTCAGAAATTTACATCTCTGATGTCTTCAAAGATTATGTGTTAAGTTTAATAGCTAGCAACGCACTTTTCTTCCATTACTCTGCCTTAATCACTTTTTGAACTCAGGAAAACACTCAAGATTCTGTGACAATACGTTCCAAAGTTAACTACAGGACTCTTATGTAAAAGGACCTCCTTCTTCTTTTGAATCTGCCTCCTGATAATGCAAGCATGAGGGGCAAATAAGATTATGGAAAACCAGTCTTGACTCGAGTCAAGAGCAGCTGGAAGTTGGACTCGATGATCCTTATGGGTCCCTTCCAAGTCAAGATATTCCATGATTCTATGACTGTTTCTCTATTCATCTTCTTCCTACATTCTTTCCTCACCACATATTCCCCCATCAGTCATCGCTGCTTCAGATTGAAAGTCTCCTCATGCACAAATCATTCCATTGCTTTGTTCACTCTTAGCACTCTTCCCTGTACTTCTCTAGTTTGTCTCTATCATCTGGAGACAAAGTTTAGAATGGCATGCTACACTCAAGTACTCTGTACTGCAAGAACTCCTTCCGAAGTGCTAATAGCTAATTCACAGCCTGCTATTGCAGATGTAAAACCAGGACCGTTTTCCCAAAGTGCATCACTTGGCATTTGTCTATACTGAATATTATTGTTTCGTCACGCCGCTGTTCAGTGTCACGGGAGCTAAGGTGCTTTGTTACCCTTCTGCTTACATGCCTAGCTTATTTTTCCTTGGTGCTTTCTGCCACATCAGAGTTTGACAAGCAACAAATCTGTTAGTTTTTATAGAAAGTGCTTGCACATGCTCAGTCATAAGACAATACAGTCAGTGACTGTAAACTGTTCATAAAGTATTGATAAATTTATGGATCACACAATACTGTGTCATCCAATCATAAGAAAAAAAAGAAGTTCTTTTGCACTGACCCCAAATGCAAGCTAAATTTAAGATATTTTAAAACCTAAAGGATGTTTTAGGTTCTTTCCATACATCAGCTCGAGGAGTCATCCATGAAGCCCAACCCTTCTGTGAGAATAGCTAAATATAAATCCTTTAACTCCTCTTGTGATCAAAACTATGAAGAGCAGACTGTTTCAAATAACCTTAATTAAGTCAACACAGTAGCAGAATGAACCACTTAGATTTGATGCATCTCTTCTCAGGGCAAGCAATATAGCTTTGACATGGAAGATACTCGAACGTTGAAGCTGTACTCTGATACAGCAAGTGACCTGGTCAGACTTCATTTATGGAAGATTCTTCGATCATCAAAATGAAACAAAAAACGTAGCTTTTTCTAAACACCTCCTCTGGGTCCTTACTGGTAGTTTAAGATACGCTTTGCCAAATCAGCAGCATCAAACCTTCAGACAGAGTTCTAGAGGTGAACTGTAATAGGCGGGAAACAAGGAGCTACTCTACAAACAAAAATAGTCATACTGAGCATCACTTTCGACAGCCGTGTAAGCAGTCACAGGTAACACGTGGCATCAGGAAGCTGGGAGGCTTTGCTCACAGTGCAGAGCTGAACTCTGTATGCCCATGACAGACACCTGTCCACCACTTACAAGGGGACAACAAACTATGACTGCGTGAGTGTTGACAAGCTTTTTTAGAGAGTCCTCAAAAAAAGAAGTATTAGGTAAGTAAAAGATGACAAGTGAGACAATTCTCCACAAATGCTGAGCACTGCCAAAAGAAGGGATATATTGTAACTCTAGGTTACAAAATTCTGAGATACCCAATACAGTTCAAGCATTTAATTTGAAGAATTTTTTTTTTTTGGTGCCAAAACCAGTTTCATTTCTATCAGTGGCCACTTGACGAGCACAGCAGTAACCACTCATGCACAGTTCAAGAAAAGTTTACTGAAGCACCCAACATGTTGCTACAAGTGTTATTTTCCACTGTAGACATTTAGACTTGTTCTTAGCCTTAATTATGGGAATATACAGTATCTTGAAGAAAAAAAAAAAAAAAAAAAGACAAGCTTTGATATAATGGCTTGTGTAGTTTCACCAACTAAAACCAAATTTAATTAAACTTGATTTCAGTGCAGAGCTCACTTTTAATGAGGACTGGGCAAAGCTAAGGCAAACAGGGTCAAAAAAAAAAAATCTTGAAGTTGTTAAAAAAAGTCTTTTTGGACATTTTCCAGTCTTCATCGCTGTTCATCATCATCATTATGAACTGATGCTAAAGATTATTCAAAATTCAGAGTCTTAAAATTTTTGGTTAGCTTAGGCATAAAAGGGAATGAAGATACACACACAAGGTAAACGCTGTTATACAAAGACAAGTACGACTAGCGTTCTGATCACCATACAGCAGATAATACTTGAAAAAAAAAAAAAAATACGTAGTGGCCTTAAATTTTTTAATGCCTGCAGCAAAATGCTACAGGCAATTTCTGAATTCCCTTACCCTTGTAACAAAACTTCATTGAAGTTTTGAATGCAAGGGCCTTGGAGTTTGAGGAGAGCAAAATACTTGTCTGTAGTTCTGGAAATTAGCTTTTTCAAGTTTTTCCCCCTAGCTGAAAGTTGTATTTTGTTAAAGCAGACATAGTTTCATTTTACTAATTCACCCGTTCAAGTTCTTGCACTATGCTCATCATTGCAGCAACTACTGAACAAGTCATCTAGAACTCTTGATCAGACAAGTCACCAGGTAATTTGGAGACATTTTCCAAATTTTATATGACGGGTTACGCTGATCGGTGTAGCATGTATCATATTTTTTATCCACTGTGTAGCAGTTGTGAGTTTCAGATATCCAACAGAAATACTTGGAGAACTGTCTTTAGAAAAGGTCTCATTGATAAATTTAACATTTCAAGTTGGCAGCTACTCTATGTTTATGGCTGTAACAATTTTGTTCCAAGAATTAATATGCATATGTCCTCTTACATTTGCTAAATTAGGTCTTATTATTTTTAATATTTCTCATTTGTATTGTAACAGAATGGCAAACTGCAACTCTACTGCCATATAGTATTGGACATGCTATCAGTAAAAAGACCCAACGTATAAAAATTTCTGAGCCCAGGCACTACAACATTTTGGTTAGCGAAAATAAACAATCACAAGTTTAGAAGGTACTAAAGTAGAAGACTTTGGTCTCCAGAAGAGAAGCACCAGATGAGACCATACAGCACTATGCACATTTTGCTTGAATTGTTCCTCCACCATATTCTTCCATTGCCAACTGAATACTGAAGTTGGCTTCAGAACATTAGAAAAACCTTCCAGACAGAAGTTGCTGAACATAGAGTTTTCAGAATGTTTTTATCACTGCTACAAAATATTAAAAAAAAAAAAAAAATCCCCACCCACAGCCTGATATGTAGATTTTTCACATTTGCTAAAAAACAACAGGTGTTGGGGTCAAAATGCAGAGGATAAAATTCTAAAGCAGTTTCAAGCTTATAAAACAATTATTACTATAGTTGTAGTGCTATTACTTAATGCTGCCATGAGTATTAATACTATCAGCAGTACAAATGCTGCTATTACTTGGAAGTATAAAACAAGAAAGAATACAAGTTACCTGGTGAACCTGAATTTCCACTTTCAGAGCCTCCTGTAGAGTCTGCAGCTCCATTCTCTACCTTCTCCACTTTCTCTAGAAGTGTCTTTGCTGATTCCAGTGCCTTTAGTTTCTGGTTTCCTCTTTTAACACCGGTGCTATAGAAAGAAAAAAGGTTTTGTTTTGGTTAGTGAAGGAGAGATATCAATTTGAAAAAAAGGAGATTATAACAGAGCAGAAATTCAGTAGTGAACTATATTCAACTGCAGATTTCTAGCCTAAACACAATCAATCTTTCGAACACAAGAAATCTACAGGCTGTACAAAATGCCTGCCTTGGAGTCATTTAGCCAAATTTGTTACTTCCCACATATCCCAAAGTTGACATACTTGTCCCTTATCTTAGTTTGCAGGCAGCTATTTCCTACCAATATCCTATTGCAGTTGCATATTAAATTAGAAAATTTAACTACTGAGAATGTTTTAAAAATCTGTGTAGATGAGAAAATATTCTGGAGACTAGAATTCTGCAACCCAAACAGCAATAAATTGTTAAACAGAACATACTGCATTAACATACTTCCATGATACTACAGAGCTGTTCTTAGATGGGATAGTCTGCATGCAATTTGACAGAACAACATTAATATATTAATAACCCACTGCCTAAAGTTTGTGCTGAGTTAGTCATTTCAGTTGAAACCTATTTTGAAGGAACACAAGATTGATATAATGCAGCACAAGACTTTTTCAAGCCCGTTAATTTTAAAATCCTTTTAATCCTGGAATTCTGCTTGTAGAACATGAGTATGAGTTTACCGTCTTCACTTGTACTACAAACAAATTAATCCCCCCAACCTCTGACATAGAAAAGCATTATCAGCCATACTTCTAAAAGCCTTGAAAGTTGGACAAGAGATTTTTTTTCAGAAATATGTTAAAGGTATCAGCTTCTGAAACAGGATTAAGATTCCTGTCTTTATCCCATATGCTCAAATCACAATGGAACCTGTGTAAAAACATCTATAAATACATACACATAAAAGCCATCAGAAAGCATTATATAGCAATCTTTCCAGTTGCTTTTCCATCCAGACACGACACATTAAAGAACTGCTGGAGTGTTCAAACAGTTCCTATTTTTTTATTTTTTGAAAATTGCTCACAATTATCACACAGGTATTGTAGCCAACTCAGAGGCCTTCATAATGGGACTTCATTGTTTTCAAAAGGGTATTGACAGTTTAGATAAGACATGTAGGCTGTAAAAAGAGAATAATTCCCCTAGGTTAAATAATTTTAACATTGTCTCACTATAGTAAACTGAAGTGCTGGACAAGTTGGCGAACTCCTGAAAATAAAAAGTTGGGATGTGTGTGTTTTGTTTATTTAAATTAATTGTTTCTCTTTCCAAACAGAAATACGTTACGAAGACTATAAAGGGGTTTTAAAAAGCATTATATTTAAACTCATTCTTTGTCAGTGCTGTCTGCTGTTAGCTTAAAGTTACTTATTTAAATAACAAAGACCTGATCAGACTTCTAGTCAACACATTAAATGACCTTCTGCAAGGGCCTCTCCCACATGTGACACAGACAAGCGAAAACAGCTGCCTTTGCAGCACTACTCTCCATAAAATTGTAATTTGTATCAAGGGATACATGGAAATTACACACAGTTCCCTGTTCTATTACCACAAACAGTAATGAGAAAATAGAATCCCGGATTATTACTTCCACTCACTGACAAGAACAACTATAGTCTGCATGAAGTCCCTACCACTGCAGTTTCAAAAGAAACCATGCTTCAGAAAATCACGTGGGAAACTGGCTCATGTAAACTGGAACCCACTGCAGAGGCAAAAAGTCTTTCATAAGCCTTAGAAATTCAATTTTGTGGTAAAGATACAGGCAGATATGGCCATAGTTTCTTTCTCAGTGTGTCTTCAATGAACGAGAAGGCACTCATAATGAACAGCCAGTATCACTCTCTAAAGTTAAGTGCAAAACAGCAGAAGAGACAGTTCTATCAACTGAGAATGTAAACAATACCCATAATTTTAATACATGTGACTGTAAAGCCCAGTACTAGTTCATGGGAAAAATGACACAGTACTTATGTTAAAAAAAACATATAAAGATTAAGCAGCTACTATTAATGCCCAACTTAATTTGACAGGTAGAAATTATAGTATTAATGGTTCATAAAAACTAATCCAACCTGATTTCATAGATGCCCGGAACAGCTAGAAAGATTTTTCAAAATTAATTTTTAAAAGCTTTAAGAAAAAAGTGATAGTGCTTAGCAGAAGCAAGTGGTTGCTCAGCCTAGCCACGTTTACAAGGGTGTAGACATGAACAAACATAATGCACTGTCATATTGACGAACATCTATTGTGACAAGTAAAAAATCAAAACAATTCTAGTAACGTACCAATCATTCAGTTCTATCCCAAAATATTTGTTACAATTTCAGATTTTCCTTTCATTGTAATTTTAAAAGTTAGCAGATTTTAAGATTCCTTAAAATTTATTCCTTCAATATACATAAATTTGAAATAGGTGCCATACTATAACATCCTGAAGAATTAATTTCAATTCATAAGACTGAAGCTTCCAAGAAAAGGCAAGAGAGATTAACAAACTTTTGACCTTTCTTCTAAGAGTTTTCTAACTCTTCACTCTTTCTTCCTACTTCCCCTCCTCCAGCATTCCCATTATAGCCTCAGAGCCACTCACTTTGCAGTCTCATTTACTTCCAGTTGCCTTCTGCTGCCAAAGTTACACTGAAAGCACATTTTAAACATAGGAAACAACCCCCTCTTCAAAAACTAAGTGTCTGATATGTAACGAAAGAGAAACTAATGCTGCTTTAGCAGCAAAGGCCACACAGTAAAGAATGATCTTTTGCAATCACCTCTGCCAGTTGCTGTATTTGTCAGCTAGCAGCATCAGTGTTCTCCGTAGTAAAAAAAAAGAACCAGGAAAAGCAGTTATGAGAACTTTGTTAAATTACAACTAAGATACCATATATTTGGCATTGCATCCCAGCCAAGGCATGCATCGCCACCACTTTAGAGACAAGGAAACAGGAAAAGGACAGTGAAGAAATTAAGAGGTTCTGAAGTGTTCTAAGCACCTAAATCACTGGTGAGGTGGGAGAACATATTAAATAAAATGTTCATTTAAAAATTTGGTCAAGCTGATGACTTCTGAATATGAAATATATACAGTTGTTATTCAGTTGTACCCCTCTAGAACTGAAACACTCTAGACCATGCACTTGTAGCTTCCCTTCCCAAGCAGGAATAACTATCCAAAGTTATCACTGTCCAAAATTCCCCTGAAGTACCGTAAACACTTACCCAATGTTAATAAAAAGTGATCATTCCTTACATCCAACAAATCCTAGACTGTGTTTTTCTCTTTTATGTACAATAATGTCTAGAAAAATCTATGAGGGCGGCTTGTTAAGTGTTGCTCATATTTCCTTTGAAAGCAGGTACAAAACTACATAAGCAAGTGGTCACACACATTTTGTGAGTGCAAAACTCCTCAATATTTTTGAACTTTCATTCTTTTAGACTGAACTTCAAGGGAAGATTTAAAAACTTAAGTCCAGTGGCATTATAAACTACCTAGAATACCACATCTGAAGATGTATAAAACCATCCCTGGATTAATCATAAAACATACTGCATTTTCCACTTTACTGTTATGACAGCAGAACTATTTTAATTAAAAAGCTTGTAGATGATTGAAATTGCATGGATGGGTTGGTATGCAAACATCCTTCATTCCATTAGTTTTTAAAGGAAAACATGCAAAGGCCTTGTTCAATGCTAGAATCAGTGACTTCCAAAAGGAAAGCAGAGGATTGTGGAGTACGTGCATCTCTTGTACATCTAGACAGACTTCCAAGCCTCAGCCAGAAACAGTACTGAGAGCAAGAGGTGAATTTGCGATTCCTTGGATTGATTTCAACTATTGGAGGCAGCAGTCCTCCATTCAATTTCTTGCTGGCACACATTTGTTATAAATAATCCCTTATTTCTTATGCGGTTGCTTCGTGACTTAAAATTTCATACTCAGATAAGTACCCCAATGCACTACAGTTAAGGTAGTAGATGTTTATATCCTATATAAATATTCAGAGACTTAATGAAACCTTAAACTCTACAATAATCATGTAAGTGCATTAGCACTTCTCCATTATTATCTCAATTAAATACAATCCACATCAGAACCTCTAAAATATCACAAAGCTATTTAAACTACAGCTATTTTGGAAACTATAATAAAAACACGCTGACAAGGTATATATATATACACAAAAAAAAAGGTAGGACCCATACAAAAGCCATGAATGCCTTCTGTGAGTATGGAATGACTCTGAGTAACTTAAAATTTTAGACAGAAGTCTTTCTGTGCCAAAAATCCCTTCAAATAAATTTGGTTTTCACATTACACAGAAAAAAATTTAATATTATTATTTTTGAGTAGATGAATTTATATGTCCACTGTACTTACAGACCCTTGGGCCCAAATCTCAGCCCTACAGTAATTTTATTTATAGGACTGGGGCTTCCATCAGTAACATTTACTTTTTAAGATTTAATTTCTGAATATAAGGATAGGATTTCAGTTTCAGTAAACACCAAACTTTTCCAGGAATGGACGCCAGCTCTTCATATCATCTATTCTTAGGTAAACCATCTCAGCCCTGGGAAGAAATACTTACCGGTTTTGAGAAAGTTATTCCCTTCAGCTCTCTACCCCCTCCTACAAAAGAAAAACAACAAAAAAAAGATAATTACAAAGAGCTTAACTACAGTTTTACACAGAAAAGAAAATTCAAAGATTTGGAAAGTTGGGGCAGGGGGGAGTTTTTTGGGTTTTGGGGAGGGGGTTTTTTGTTTGTTTTTTTCAGTTTTTGGCTTCTTTTTTAAGTGCTGAAGCTAACTATAAAATACCACTTGGAAAGAAAATCTGTTTGGCATGGCAGGGAAAGTCAAGGAGACCTACAGTTCTAATCTGGATTAAAATACAAACTATTACTGTCACTAGAGGAAGAAGAGATTACAAGTACAAGCTTTTCTGGTTCTGTGCAAGGCCTGTGTCCCCCTCCCCTGAGGGAAGTACCTCCTTTCCATTACATTTATTAACATATAAATCACAAACCCTGTCAGTTGCCACAGCTAAATATGACAAGGTTACCCCCCCCAGCCATTTGCCTACCACCTCTGCTAGAGGTTATACCAACACAACAAAGATGGTAGAGCAGGTGGTGTGTCAGCACAGTCACTAGAGCTCAAATCCCAGAGTACTAATGTAAACTGAAATCAATGGCAGTTTAAGCTAATATGCTAGGTCATGAACTGTGGAGGCCGAGAAGATACACTGCCCATTACACTGCCTGTGTCATGGGAAGAACAACATTTAGCAGCGGAGCAAGGTAGTACCTCTTAAATCATCCTCACATGAATCATAAAAAACTCATGAGTCAGAGTCCTAAAAAGATAGCTAAAATATAAACAATAACTCATTTGCTCAATTACTTTGCCTGATGCTAAAAAAGCCTCCAAAATACTCCAATTTTCTAGTAAAATACTAGAATATTAGCCTATTTTAAGCTTCGACTCCATAGCTAACAAGAACTTTGCAGATATGTTTCTATCCACACACAAGTCATCACAGAGCTGAAGTTTAAGCCCCAGCCTTATAAATAGATACAGCAGTAGAAAGCCACATAATCATCTCTCACTCAGTGGAGACCAGCACAAGTGGAGGAGTTTACATTTACTAACCAGCAGAACCAGGGTGCTGATGAACACCAAGAACAGAAAACAGGAAGCCTGCTGCTGGTAGTGACTGTAAGTATTGTCACTCTTCAAGTCTCAAATTTTATTGCGCATTTTGAGCAACAAAATATTACAGAAGATTCGTTGTTAAATTAATTTTAGAGCAATTTCAGGTTAGTTTCAATAACATCCATCTGCTAACATGGCAGGTTATGAACTGGGGAGTATGGACTGTTTTGAGGCTATCTTCAAATTAAGTGCATTTGCTCTGGATGCTACAGAATTTGAAATACCCTCATTGTCGAGGGTGCTGAAGAGACAGGTGTGATTCTCAAACTCTAGTTGTTTCTTCTTCAATATTAAAACCTTAGTTGTTACCGCCATCTCCCGCTATCAACCAATTATTTCATTGGTCCGGAAACCTACAGAGGAAACTCTTTCATCATGCAAGCACTAACTGTCCCTCTTCAACAAGCAACTACACCTATATCTCCATGCTATTAATTAAAAAAATAAAAAAAATAAAAAAAATCTTGCCGCTGTAGATGACTGACTCCGGAAAGCTAAACAAAACGGTCGATGCTACACATTTGCAAATATAGTCTTAGAATAAGAGAGCATAATTTTTATTTTAAAAAGAAAAATATCAATTTACTTGTAGCACAAGTACACACATAAACTGTCACTTAAAAGTAACAACATGATTAACTGTTCCTTCCTTCCTTTTTTCCCCCGCTACGTAGAGACTGGTCTTCATAGCAGGACCCTAGCTTCATCAAGACTGAACTGCGCAGAAAAAAGCCACAGTTACAAACCTTCAGATTACATTTAACCACTCTGAAGGGCTGCAACCCTGGGCTGCAACCCCAGGCTGAGAACCCAGGGGCTCCCGAGGACAAAGTCAGGAACACCAGGAGTTTAATCGTGACTATCCGAGTGATTTGCTGTGTTGCCTTGGAGAAGGCACTTAGAGAGGACCTAGACAGGGAATGGAAATACATTTGCATCCTCTTCTGTACATAATTTTTTACAGGGTTTTTCTTAAGTGTTTAGAACAGGTTAATGTTTGAAAGTCAGTCCTTTGGAAATACAAAATACTTTAATTCTGCCCTCATGCAAGTATAGTGTTTTTACTGGCATCTCTGCCTCATTTACCAGAGAGGACAAGCTTAAAGAATGACGTATCTGTTGAATAATTTCTTTTCATTCTGAGTTTTCAGTTTGCATGCTTTTTTCAATTCAACATCTAAGCTCTACAACAAATAAAGAATTGGTTTCCTCATAAGCAACACACTAACGAGAGCCACAGAAAAACTTGTGCCTGATACAGGTAAGTTTTCTTAGATAGGGAATTGAGACAGAGAAATTAAGAACATCCAAGATTGGTAACTCCAAGCATCTTAAACAGACTTACGTTTTCCACTGCTCTTAACATTTTTATAGTAGAGAACAGTTTATGACCAACTAAACCTGTAGCTTTGGTTCTTGACAATTCTCCACATTTGTGGCTACTGGGAACCAACCCAGAACAGTATTAATGAAAAAGGTACCAGATAAAATCCATGCTATAGATGAAATGAGATTATTTCTTGTTCACAGCAAGAGTACACACACAAACTCACAGTGCCTCCTCTCTCACTACAAAACACATCAGAAAGTTAAGATTAGATAGCTCACAATCACTCCTATCAATAGAGACATCTGAAGAGTTTAGCATTTTGCAGGGTTTCTTAAAAACTTCAGCAACTAGAAACGTATCACGAAATCTCAGCTATTCATTTTACAGAGGTGGTCTTTTGAAGGCTCTAGAAACACGTGCTGTAAGCTGTCAGAGCTACGAGTCTGCACAGCTAACTCTCAGATTATTACAGTATAGTCTGCAATATTTGGGGTTTTTAAAACCCCAGCTCTGGCAGTCGTCTCTGCTTTCTATTAGAGAACACCGCCTTCTTCCCAAAACATACATATGATCAGAAGAAAAGCTTGAGCAATGCTTACCTATGTTTACTACAAGCTAAAAAACAAAAAGCAATTTAAATTAGCATTAACCAAATAAAACATCAGTCTTAGAAATACATTTTCCTTAGTGAGATTGACTGCTGAGAATCTGATGTTAGTGTTACTAACAGGAAGGGTAGTTTGATATATACACAGACTTGAAGTAATACACCCCCCCCGCCCCCAAATAAAAGGCTCTTAACCTTTTCAACAGTTCTATACAACATATATAAGGAAAAATACACCACCATTACCAAAACAATCATATTCTGCAGATCAACTTTAAACTTTTTGTTGAAGTTCCTAAATAGACGTTACTCATTTCATGGGACTGTTACGAAAACAAAAACCTCAAACACAAAACTCCTATGTTTAAGGCTTGGTAGCCCCTGAGGGCATCAGAAGAACTACATCGTGGTTAAACTTTTTAGCATACAGCACCTGAATGTTTAAGACTATGTAAATGCTAAGTATCTGTATATTAAGATGTTTGGTTACATCAATCAGATACTTACTATTACCTTTATATATATGCTACCGTAACCAGAGACTCATTTGGAAAAAATGGGAGACATGAAAAGTCATGTTTAGCCATTTTTTGTTAGCATTTTTCCTAACTCTAGAAGCTCGTGCATGTTTACTGTTGGACCATGTAACTTTAATCAGGAACTTTATATGTACATATCACATTACAATATTTACTTATGTAATTTTTACTTCTTGCCAATAGGACCTTGGTCTTGTTCAGTGCACAGGATACACTCAGATGAAAGAGGACGAATTGTTGTGCACAGGCAATTGTGAGCCTGACATTCTTTCACATTTCAGAGCACTGCTTGACAATATTAAGTGTAAAGCATTAATTAAAAAATTAAAAATTAATTTTTTTTTTTTTGTGTAAAATACACTGCACACAGAAGGGATTCACAGTTTTCTCTGGATCTCTGTCTTTAGATGTGAACTCCTCAAAGCAACAGGTCTCCTTCCTAGATTTGAAAGACATCCTGTATATAGAGAGCACTCTATCAATATGTTCTAGGAAAACAAGTCGCAACAGTTACTTCACTGTGATCCTCAAGTCAGAAATGAAGCGACTCATATTCCTTAACAGGACAGGATTTCTGCAGTCTCAAGAAAAAGACAGACCAAACACAGCCCAGACAGGGGGTATACAAGCTATTTCAAATTACATTATTATAAGGCTCACGTTTCAAAGACCATGTTAGCAACACCAGTGCGGCCGCTTCCGTGATTAAAACCAAGCCTCCCATGCGCCAGAGCAGGGAATCTGATCTTGCCGTTGTGCTGCAGCTAGGAGAACTCCCAGTCAGCCCCAGTAACACGTGTCAGGCAGGTGGTAAAGGGACCAACAGGATTGCCCAAGATAACCGAGACTGCACTGAAGTGTACTAGCCATGCCTTCCAGTTTGTCCCTCTGCACAACTCCTTTATAACTTCTCTCTCTTTCTCCTCCCTATCCCCACCCAATACTGGTAGACAGCTCCCACGAAAATGGTCAAGGAGCTTGGACTTTCTATTGATGCATACAGACAACCCACGGGATTCAAACAACAAGCTCCAATTCTGCCTCCAAGTTCCTTCTGCCACGATGATTAGCCATGAAACAGATGCAGTTTGGAGTTTACAACACCAGAAGCTGATTTCATTTGGGGATAGATCACTTCACCTTCTCTAAAAGAGTTCAGAAAACCATCAAACTCAGTTTTAATGGAAGTGTGTGATGCCATCATTCATCTTTGCAAAAGCAGTACTATATTTAACATACAGAAAATGAGCTAAAAGACTCATTACAGCTAAAAAGACCATCCCCATTGTAAAGACAAAACCACTTCACAACCCGATTTTTAAAATATCAACCAAGACTTGCCATGGCAGTCAAACGCATGTAAGCAGATGAAGATCGTCCTCTTAGCTCTGCTTGTCCTATGACTGCAGCTCTGATTGCCATTAGCAACTCTTCCTG